ATTGTTGACTAGTGAGTGCTCAACAAGGTGAGAAAATGCTGGGTCTGCACAACCCTCAGGGTCTCCTGGGGGCTGCTGAGGGCCCCCAGAGCCGTGGCACCAAGGAGAAAGGCGCCACAATTTGCTCTGTCCTCCCTGATGTGAGGCTTCCTCTCAAATGCCAGTAAGAGTTCACAACCAAGAGCTCCTGAGACCCCAGAGCAGATAAAATTGCATCAAGAACCAGGTTCCCTCCCTGGATATTTTGAGAACAATGCTCCACCAGACCCCACCACACTCCTGGCACCTTCCCCTCGCTGCCGCGACTGCCAAGCCCCACGCCAAATCCAGCCATTTCCAAGTTCCCTCGAGTGCCTGCAAATACTCAAATATCTGGCACCTGGCTTTGGTTGAAGTTGTCTGGTCGTGTGGCTTTCACAACTCTGTTGCTGGGCTATGATTAAAGCATTTGGCTTTCCATGGTAACATTACCCATCTATAATCTTGTTTCTTAGCGAGATCGGAGCCGGCTGTACCAGCGGTTCCCTTTAATGACAAGTCTTCAGGAATAACTCTGCCCTTTAAGGCAGGGGCGACATGTGATTGACAGCTATCATGGCTTTCAGCTAATTAGATATTCTCTGTGTTCAGCCGAGGCAGGGATTTTAAAGGAAATAATTACAGGCTCAGGCCCCTTATGGCAGGCCTGAGATCACCAAAGGTCTGCTGAGACTCATTTGCCAAATTTTGGGGTTAGCCATGATACAAATCCATTTGGAAAACCACGCAAGCCAACCAGCCCCAGCCCATCTTTCCAAAACTAAATGGAGTTAGAGACAGCCTTTGAGTGCAGCATGGAGCTGATCTCTGTGTGTACAGAGGGGCTGCCCAGGCTCCCCACTCCCTCCCCACCTCACCGGAGGTAAATGGAACTCCACCCTCAATTGCACAGAGCAATTAAGCATGCTGTGTTAATTAGTTACGGCAATGACAAGCTTCTAGACGAGCAATGTGCTATTCCTTATAAACGATGCTGTCACAGAAGTGTTAATTTCCCTCTGAGATTAAGCTGAGTGTAAATCAGCTGCTGCAACCACCCCAAAAATACAAACTGCAACGCAAACAGCCCAGCCAGAGGCAGGGAGCGCGACCTGCTGCTGTGTTTTGCAGACTGGAGAGCTTCGTAAGGCTCGTGAGAAAGTCACAGCGAGGCATCATGTTGTATCAGCTTCACTTTTTTCTTTTTTTCCCCTGGTGTGAAAGCATTTTCAGTACATCACAGCTCTGCGCTGGGTTTAAGCCGGCGGACGGCACTATAATAAAATTATTTGCAGGAAATTATAGAACTGCAAAGGCAAGGCTCATTGTCACCTCGCAAATGTCACGGAAGACGTGTGCTTCTGCAGTTTGTCACAAGTTTAGCCCCACTGCTGTGACTGCTGCTCGTCAGGAGACAGCCTGTACAGCAGCAGAGGCATTTGAAAGCCCATCTCCAGCCGAGATGGCTTGTTATGATAAATCTTCACCAAATCAAGCGTTTTGCCAACAGCAGTTGGAAGATATCCACGCTTTTATTGCATGCACATTCTCCGTATCCCATTGCTATCATTCAGCAATAAATGTATTCAGAGCTCGTACCAGTTGCCCACCTAAGATTCGGGTAGTGTTACAGCCAGAGAAGACACCTGTGTGGACTGGGAAACACGTACCTAAATTAGCAGCATCTTCTCTCCCTCTGTAATACAGAATCAGTCAGGTGCTATGCAAAATCTTGCTGCAAAGCATCTCAGCTGCTGCTGGGGCCCTGGGTCAGCTGGAACCTGGGTCCTGCAGGGCTTGAGAAATCCCTGCGCTGAGCTTTGAACAGGCATGCTAGAAAGAGGAGCAAGCCACAGGAAAAAAAGGGGGGCAGGGGAGTAAAATCGGCGTTCTTAAAATAATAACAAAGTCTAACAACATTTGCAAAACTAAACCTGTTCACTTGGCAATTGAGCCTTGGGAAAGTTGCATCCATCCTGCGCAGAGGGAAGTATTTACAGCCTCGCTCGCAGGCTGCAGGTGGGGATGTTGTGGAGGAGATTACAAACAGATTGCAGGCATCTTGCAATTTTATTGCCGTGTTGCTGGAAGCAGCTTGAGGTACACGACAGCGCGCCCAAGCCCAGATGGCCATCATTGGGCACAGAAAGGGGGAAATAAAGACTGAAGGCTCTGGCAGGAGGGGGCTGTGCTGCCAGCCCTCGTGCCCCCCGGGACAGGGCTGTGGGGTGAAGGGCTCCCTACCCCATGGGATCAGCTGTGGAGGTGAGGAGAGGTTTGTCTTTCAAATGAAGCGTGTGTCGCACCACCCGGTAATGAACACGCACAGCACTGGCAGGGCTGCTGCATAATTTAGCACCACAAACGCTGCCTTTCTCCGGAGTTTTCATAATTCTCTTATCTTTATTTATAAAGTGTTAATCTGCTTTAAGGAAAAAAAAGAAAAAAAAAAAGAAGAAGAGACTAAAGTTCACGTGTAAGCCCTAAAACATGGTAAAATAATGAAAATGGTAAGTGGAGAGGAAGGAATTCAATTTCCTATTTTTTTTCAACTTTCTGATGCCACAGATTCCTGAAATGCTGAGTTTGGGAGCGGCGGGGCTCAGCACAGGGGCTCTGCTGGACCCCTGCTGCAGCTCCTTGGGGGCTCGGGCAGGAAACCCTCAGGCTCTGGGCAAGGAGCAGAACAGGGAAACACCTACGGAGTAATCAGGCTGTTTTCAGCTGATGGAAACTGTGCACACAAAACTTCAGGTGGGGATGCTCCCAGCTGCCCAGAAGCTCACCCCAAAGGGCAGTCGGGGAGGGCCCCACGTTAGCTGTGGTTGCACTTGCCTAGCCCAGAAGTTAAGTTCCACGCTTTTAGGGCCACTTTGCAGCCAAAAAGGCTCAAACATCTCAGGATCACAAATTCAGTGAGGTGAGGGTTCTTATTTCTCTGCATGACACCTGCTTATTTCCACATGCCAATGTAGTATTCAAGGATTTACAGCAACTGCAGTAATTTTGAAAACCATTCACTCTTGCACTATCCCCTAGGGGTTAAAACTCTGCTAGGAGCAGCGGGCTTTTGTGTGTCTTCAATAGAGGAAAATATTTTAGGGTTTGGGTTACGTAAGGGTTTTTTTTCCAAGAGGTTTGATGGTAATAGGTGACACGTTGTATATATGATTTTTGTAGTGAAGACTTCCATCCGAGCAGTGATTTCCACAACAAATGGTAAAAGCTTGTACAGAAATCTGTAAGTGTCCCACTCACCAAACTGAACAAATCCTGACATTCAAATATTCTTGCTCAAAAGCAAAACGACAGCCCTTAGCAAGCCAGATCTGAAACAAGCAGATTATACCCCCAGAGATAGGAGAATATGTTTGGAAAAGCTTTTAAGTATCTCAGGAGCGAAGGGTTATTTGAAAAGCAACATGTCAGTCAGACGTTTTGACACAAACATGCTGGTGCCATCAACACCTCTACAGTAAATATTTCAAGATAATCTTGTTCTGAAATACAAACTCTAGCTGCTCTATTCAAATGCCTGATCCGACATCAATCCCAAAGTGATCCAGAGGCGGGTACAGAGCACTACAAACCCAAACCAGGGTGAGAGCCTCTGGCAAAAAGTAGCAAAGGCTGCTAAAAGCCCCATGTCCTTCCTGCACCTCCAGCACACGCTGCCAGGGGTGTTTCACTAGGAAAAGGTTTCATTTACCATGCTGCACACAGTGCTCAGTTTAATTTAGACTTTTTATTTTCCCTTCAATATTGTTCAGTATGTTGTACGAAGCCGATGGGATTGTTTATGGAGTAAGGTATAATCCAGCCTGAACAGCAGGGCCCAGACCATCAGCTACCAAGCCTCAGCCCTCTGTTACCCAAGCATCTGCCTGCAAATCTGGGCAGAGAGAGAATTAAAGCAGCACTGCAGCAAGAAACCGGGCAGAAATGTGTGGTCTCATTTAATTTTGCTGCATTCGCTGCACTGATGCCCCCCTGCAGCACTCACTCACACCCCTCTCTGGCCGTTTGGGCTTAGCCTGTCTGGAGGTATTTGCTAGCACCACAAATAGAGGAGCAGGGAGCTTTGGTAGGGCCTCACTCGTCGCTATTAACAGTAAACTCTGAGCTTTACATGACCTTACCCTAGGAAAGAAGCAGCACACCACCTGGAAACCAGAGAGGCCTAAAGGAACTCCAGCTCTTTTGCTATATTAATAATATAAATGAATTGAATTCACTTCAGCCTGAAATTTGTACGGATACTCAGCTTACACAGAGCACATTCAAATATTTAAGGCAGGCACTAGAATAATCATGAGTCGCCCTCCAATATCATTGTGGTGCTACTGCTGAACCACCACTCCTTAACCACTGGGTCAGCTCTGAACTATCCCCAAGTCTCACTGGTGTATTTTCAAGGAGAACCCATCTCTGCCACAGGTATTTCCTCCATGTTCATGGACCAGCATTAACACAGAAAGAAAGTGGGAAGTGAACCAGGAGGCGTGGTGGGTGCCCTAAGGGTCGTTTTCCCTTTCTTTTAATCGTTCTGATAAGCCTTTGTTAGGCAATCAATCAACTTAATCTTGGAGAAAGAGGCGTGTTAATGACGGTGTCAATTTAGTGGGTGTTTTAGGTTTTATATTCAATTTTATTTTTTTGCACAGAGCGTGAAGAGGAATGGCATCGAGGACTGCCACGCTTCGGAGGCACAGCAGTGTCCTCTGAACATAACAGAGCCCACAGCAGGCTGCCAGAGAAGTGAATTGCTGCTGTGAGCATGAAGGAGGAATCTGCTTTCTGGGGCAGGGATGGGGGACCTGCTCTCAGCTCTCACACATGGTGTGGGACCTGGGCACATGCTGCAGACTTCAGAAGGGCTTGTGTGGCTGTGATGGCCCCGTAGCCACCTCAGGGCCCGGCTGAACCACAAAGGGTGACACCCGGGTGCTACAGGAGCTGTATCCCCTTCCATGCCTCCATACCTGTGGTCATCCGGGGTGCTGGACGCTGCATTTCCTCGAGCCCTGGGGAAGGAAAAACATCACTCAAAACCCAGCAGCAGTTAGCTGGAGGGCAGTTATACCTCCCTCAGACAGAGAAATGTCCCTCCCAACCTCCTTAAGACACCTCCTGGCCCACACTGCAGCCCCACAGGTGTCAGCAGTTCCCATACATGTGTGTAATTGGGAGCAGAGCTGTCTAAGCAAGCAATTAGGCAAGCAGACTATTTACAGATATAAAATAACCAGTTTTCAGACACCAAGTTCAACAAGGAAATGGGTATTAGCAGCATGAATGTAATTATTCTATTAACTAGTGTTTTGGAGTTACCTTTCTAAATCTGGATCTACTCAAGCACGCAGCAATCATTTCTATATTACTCTGGAAAAGGTTAGTCACTCTCAGGTAAAATTCATATTATAACCCCATAATTAGCAGTATTTGTTCTTCGTGCTTATTCCCCTGTTACCAAGCAGTAACATTTAGGGAGATTGGTGTCTTTTTGCCAAGGTTTTCCTCTCACACAGGCAACGTATGCCGGGTTAACATTTATTTTTCCCCAGCGTTAGAGAAGCCATCTGATTAAGAGTTGGGGCTTATTCTGCTGAGTCTCACGGGCCTAAAGACAATCTTTGTTCACACAAACACCCGATTACAGACCTTAATGTCCAGCAGCTCCTCGGGGTTATCCGGGCGGGGAGAGGCCGGGAGCGCGGCCGGGCCGTGCCCGTGGGCGCAGCCACATTGCCCCCTGCTGGCCCTGCTCGGGGCCGGGCCCTGCCTCCCTCAGCTCTTCCCTGGGGAAATGGTGGGCAAATGGTGGCCCCCTCAGGAGCAGCTTCATGGCAGGGGCAGCTCGCTTTGCTCCGGATTTTGAGTGGCTTGTGTCCAGGGCTTCGCCCGCAGCAGCGCCCTGGGTGCTCCACTCCAGTCCGGGCTCCCTGAGGCAGGGGGTAGGGGCTGCCCCCCTCAGAAACTTCGTGCTGTCTGGCTCTAAAAGCAGCAAAAAGCTTCTGCAGCTCAGCCCCATGCAGAGCCAGGCCCATGTGGAGAGCCTGGGGCTTCCCACAGGTGTCTGCAGGGAAGCTCGCCCTTCCCAGCTCCACCTTCCTCCTACAGGGCTCCAACCCTTCCTGGGCTCCATTTTGTGGCCACTGCCCCTCGTCCTGTCCCCACAGACCACTGAAAAAAGCTTGGCCATGTCCCTCTCTCTCCCACACTTCAGGTATTTATAAACATTGATAAAATTCCCTCTCAGTCTTCTTTTGTCGAGGCTGAACATACCCTGGTCCCTCAGCCTTTCCTCACAGGAAAAATGACAAAAATATGCACCGTAATGCCACAACCTCACAGGGGAAGTTTATGTTCTTAGCTTTGCAATCAGCCAATCTGGGAGTCCACTAATTTGTGTAATCTGAATTGGAAACAGTATTTCAGCATCCCTGGTATATTTGTGAGCCTGAACTTCAGTTCTTATCCCCCCAGCTTCCTTACATAGCTTAATCACACGCTTTGTTTACAGAACTGTATAAAGCAGAGTGATTAAATCTGGTTTGATTTAATCTTTAATAAAACCTGAATGAGTGCACTTCAATAAGGATAACATGACCTTCGTATTTTCATTTTAATAAACATTAGAAATTGCCAAGATTAGTGATTTTCAGTGCTAATAACTTAACAAGGCAATAGACCTTGTAATTAAAATAAGTTTAAGGAGGCTGCTAAATGATTTTGATAATGATTTAAGGACCAATTATAGAAAAGATCTCATTCTTCCCCTTCTAATTAGATATATTGGAAACAGCAAAGCTGAGAAAGTTGTGATATTAACCATTTTTCTTACAGCGAGGACATCCAGATGCTCTGTATCAGAAAGATTTAACAGAAAACAGCATTGTGGGCTCCTCCTTAAAGAAGACTTGATTGTGAAAGAAAAGGCACAAGAATGATGTTATTAGTTCTGCTGCTTTGTAGTGGCTAGGATATATGGCCTTGAAGATTACTGCTCTATCAGCCTTACATGAGGATTTAGCACTCCCATAAAGCCACTCAGCCTTGTACGAGTGCAAAATGCAGCTTCGGTTTGGGCTCAGGACAGGAGAGGAGCAGGAGGGCCAAGCACACCAAGCTCAGGGCTGTCCCTCCTAAAACGCTCCATTAAAAAAAACAACCCCAAACTAACCAAAAGAAATCCCAAAGCCTCAGGCCAGCCTGGCCTTTCAGCAACAAAAATCATCATCATGCTGAGACTGCAGTGAGCAGTCATTGAACCAGACTCTACAACATAAAATGCTCATTTTGGGGTTGATTTTATGGGGTAGCTTGGTAACAGCTTTAGAAAAAGCCAAATTAACAGTTTGCTGCTACTTCAAGAGGAGCATTCCCAGTTCTGTCCTGAACACTCTGCTCGCTTGCCTTGAGCCAAGCTCTGGCCGCATGGTAAACTAGCTCGGTGCCCCAGAACGGCTGGAAATCAAAGCAGGAAGAAGAAGGATTGTACAGCTACAGGCTGTGCAAGAAATATATATCTTATAAATGTGTAAGAAATACCTGCTCCCTTTTGGGGAACTAACCAAAGATTTCCTAAGTCTGAGTTACAGCTGTAGAGTATTCTTCCTCTCCTAATATTACTAGCAGTCTGCGTGAGAACCATAGAAATATCCCTTTTCACTTTATAATATTTTTGTAGCATTTAAATTTAAGAGACACCACATTTTTCATCTCCACATTGCAAATTAATTTCCCGTAACTCAAACCACCCTGCTTAGATAAACCTCTATTCACCCTGTACACAGCTGAGCAGCAGCCAAGGACAGTTGTCTTAGCTGAGTAATATGCACTGGTACTAAATGAAAATTAAACTATAAATATTTTAAAATACCTGATTTCCTGGATAGTAAAAGTGAAATGTATCGTTTGTTTAAACAATCCTATTCGTTATTTCTTTCTTCATTTCATAAAACTCAACCACTAACGAGAACCTACATAAATAGAGCTTCAACTTTCATCTTTGGAAGTTTAATCAGAAAGCTCTTCAGGAATATTTTATTCCTTTTATCAGAATACTGATGGAAGTCATAATTCACCTTAATGCAAGAAAGTTTCCTTGTTTCAGTGAAGAAGTTCATCAAGACATTTCTTGTTGGTAAGATCTGACATAAATCTGCTTGCTTTTTCCTCTGTTTGATCTCAGCACCTTATGAATTTTTGATTGCCTGCTCTTAATTTTCCACAAGCAAATTCAATTAAAGAAATTAAAAAACAGTAGTTCAACCCTGATTACTTCATCAGCAAATGGCTCTTTTATTGCACAACGGATGACATATGCCCCACTCTCCTGGTGCTGGTGGAGTCCTTATAAAACTGGGTCATATGAAACCTTTCCCCCCTTTATTGGTGCTATTAGGAAGCACCATATCAAGCCACCCAAGTCGATTTATCAAGGCACTTCCCCTGTACAGGCGATGATACAAGGGCTATTGTGAACGAAAAAGATTTCCTTGGAAAAAAGAAAAAAAAAAGTTGAAACCATTGAGTGCATTTCAAATCTTTGGTCTGGGCAAGTGTGTGGTTCTTTTATGGTACCAAGATAACAGAACGGTGTACGAGGGCACTGGAGAAGCAATTCAGCACAGTCATCCGTGGTTGAGGTGACTGTGCAGTACTTCCTGCCTGTTTCCAGTACTCTCTTGCTACAAGCAGTGGTGAGCATGAGCACAAGTACTCCAGGCTCCAACCCAGGACACCTTACCACACTGCAGGCTCTGGATGGCAGCATGCCTCAGTAACAAGCTGATTATTTAGCGTTCATTCCTTCAGGACACAGACACCCAGTGTTAACAGGTACTGCAGCCTCTCCCTTATGCTGGCATTATCAGCTGAATGACAGAGAGGACCATCAGTATGCAGGCTTTAAAAACAGAGATATTCCACAAACATCATTATTTAAACTAATTTGCTTAGATGCATCCGCAAACTTTCTGCTATGTATGGCCATAGTCTAGCAAGCCTATCTCTTGGGGCAGCTTACTGCAGTCACTGCCAACCTTATCGAGCAAGATTTGCCTCAAGCACTTAAAATACATTAGCATCCGAGAAGTGAATCCATTTAGATAATTCCCCAAATGAAACCTGCTGTTTAAAGAACTTCAAGGATTTCAAATGCATGTTAATTTCCTGTGAGTTTAAAACCATTCAGAACAGCTTTCCTTAGTATTATTGGTAAAGAGCCTTATTAAGGAAAATGCATAAATATTTAAAAGAAAATTTTCTCTTATTTGCGATACAAAGCTATTGTGCACAATAGCTAGAGCAAGCAGAGTAACTGTTTATCTTAAGTATTTGGAGCGAAGCATTGTTGGCTGCACCCGGCTACAGAAGACACACATGCAAGCCATGATTTCACAATCTCAGTATCAGTTCCCTAAACAAAAAGATTTCAGTACTGATATGACTATCAAGAGCAAAAGGCTCAACATGCAATGTCCTCCTCAAAGGCCACCTCATGCACAAGTATTTTCAGAGAAAACAGCTAAAGATACACCACAAAAGAGAATTTATTAACTGTCGCAGTACAGCCAGAGTGAGCTTCAGTCCATTAGCCTAAATGCTGTCAGGTGCAACTAATGAATACTAAAGCTGTGGGACAAGCAGTCACAGCAGAGCTAGAACAGAAGAGGATTTTAAAATGCAATGGCACCCAAACACACTGCAAAGAAGCAGGTTTCATAATTGCCTTGATGTTAGACCTTTGGCAGTTTTCTTTAAGAAGTTCACAAAAGGCGATCTTGCTATTAGCCGTGCGCGTTCTTCCTCCAGCAAAAGTTATGGTTTTTTAAGAGTTTCTTTGTTGAAAGGAACAGCTCAGAAGCTGGGAAGCTAATAAATTTCCCTTCCAACAGACAGTCTGCACAAGTACAAGCAGCTTAAGGACAAGAAAAAAGCAAGATTTTTGTTCTTATATATATATATATATATATAAGAATAAGATTTACATTGTTATATAGAGATTTTTATATTATTTAAAGAGAAAGTTACTGAACTTGTTAGGAGAAAAAATATTTATTAGCTTCCTTCTCTCCAA